CCCACCCGGCCCTTTGTTTGTTCTTCATTTCCAGGAAGCATCTGTGAGTATCTCTCAGGACTTCTTACAGTAAATCCTATTTCTGATTCTCAGCCCTCAGTTTACCATTTTTTGATATTCTTTCTGGATCAAATTCTTTCACACTTAATAATTCATCTTTACCTTTGACCTTAAATTACTTGGAAGTCTTTTAAGGAAAAGGAAGCAATAAAGACTAAATGCTTATCAAATTGACGACCAGTCATTCTTAGAACAATGAAAGTTACTTCTCATGAAAAATAAGAAATGGGGCGGGGGGGAGACTCCTTTGCCAGCGTTTTTTCTCTATGAAACTTCCTTGCTTTTATTTTCATTGTAACCTGTTTGTTCTTATTTGTTTATAGTATTTATAGTGCCAGTTCTTGTTCAGCACCTAACAGTTTTTGTTGTTTCGAAGGCCTGCTTAATAACTGCTGTGAACTGGTTACTCCATTTCTTTTACTATAATTAAAAACAAATAGCAAGATACATGTAGCCTTTTAAAATTTATTAGAGTTGTTTCCCAACATGATTTCCTTGTTTTACAGTGTTTTCATATTTAAATCAATCATTACTGTAGATCATTTCTGGTACCATATGTAATATGAGGTAAATAATGTAAAAAAACCCTGCAGTTTTATGACATCTGCTTTCATAGGGTGTTCCGGAATTGCTGTCATAAAAATATAGTGGCAGAGCACGGACCTTGGAGTGAGACTCCGTGAGTGTAAATGCCAGCTCCACTACACTTTTGCCTCGGTCCCTTCATCTGTAAAATAGAGAATTAAACTTGTAAAGTGAGGGTGAGAACATTTCCTTCCTTGTAGGGTAGTGTGAAGACTAAATGAGATAGTTCAGGTGTATTATTTAGAGTAATGCCTACCTCATACTGAGATCTGATAAATGTTTGCTGTCATTATCATTAGTTAACAAAAGTATGTGTGTTGAAGGAAAGACATTTCGTACTTAGTTCTGACTCCCTTGTGTCAGGCATTTTCACTGGCCAGTGGACTTCAGGAAGTCCTGTTCGCGCAGTGCTCCGCCCCCGCGGCCTGGTCCTGCCGTGGGGAGCACAGAGTCAGACGGCTGTCTCACAGTGGGCAGCCACCCTTTGAGTACCTGCTCTCACACATTTGATTTTCAGGAGTAATTTCTAGTTTTAATGTTTGTATTTCAAAATTCGCAGAACAAAGGTAATTTTAGTTAAACTTTCAAACCCTAGCAATTCAAGTCTTTAGCAAAACAGATACATGAATTCTCAAAAAGTGATGGGTCATCATTAGTCTGTAAGTTTAGTAATATTGTTTACTATTTGCTCTCTTAGATGCCTCAAGTCGGGAATATTTTTGAAAATTTGAGACCCAAATTTTCAAATTGCAGCGTGTGTGTGTCCCCCCTCTCACGGCTGTTTTGTTCTTGCTCATAGTAGCTGCCTACAGAGTCTGTGCCTTTTAGTGCATGATCTGTGTAAGATTATACTTTAAAACTTCCTTGTAATGCAAAGAGTATCACGTGGCAGATCTATGGAGTACACACATCTGCAGTGAGACATATTTTCCTCTGTTGAAAATAACCTTGGAAACGTACTCTTTATTTCCGTGGTCCATTTAGCTGCACTCTGCTCCTTCCAACCCGTGGAAATACAGACACTGAGCAGCTGAAAAATTTAGGCCAGCTACAGTATATTCATTTCTGAAGAGTTATTAAAGTTAAAGTGAATTATCTATAGAGTGTTGGGAGTTGTGGAAGAATTGATTATCTTACTGGAAGCATCTAACAGACTCCTAACCCTGAGTGGACTCTGCATAAATGCTGTGCGGACCGCCTGTGGGGCTGATCACAAGCGTATTAAGTGGCAAGTGGACATAGTGTCTAAATAGGCAAGTATAATGTGTGTCATAAAGGTTTAAAGTATTTTGTTAGCTGAGACGTCAGCAAGGATCTGTTGCCAAATTAGCTGTCCTTCTGCCCCCATTCTCCCAGTCGGTCTGACCCAAAGGCCCTGGCACAGTATTCTCAAAACAACTGCTTATGTCGCTTGCTACATAGCTCAAAAACTTTCAATTGGAGAGTAAAGTACAAGTACCTTTGATAGTTGTCATTCTCTGTCACCTGGCTTCTAGTCACCTGTCCCGGCTTCTACCTCCCAACCTTCCTGTAGACTCCTGTATGTCCGCCCACCTCTTCTGCGTAGTGGTCTTAGGTATAGGTATTTCCCGTGATTTCCTGCCTTCATATGATTTTCACCCACTGTTTCTGTGATTGGTATTTTTCTCCCTTGCCTCTCCATTCACTCGAGATCTAACCATGCTTTAAGGCCAAGCTCATGTCTTAATTTCTCTTCAGAGGTTTCCCAAATGATTTGCTTTTTACTCTGAATTTCTTTTGGTTATTCTTTCTTTATTGCTCATTCAGCACTCACGTTACAAAATTGCACATATGTATATATTTTTATGTATCTTATGTACATTTACATATGTGATTATATCGTGTGTGTAGGTTTTATCATGTTTTGCAGCTTTTTTTTGTTTTTAGTTCTTAGCTAGATGGTACACCCTTAGGAAGGAGGCACATAGCATAATAATGCATCTAGTCTATGAATAAATGTCATCGAAGTAATCTTGTATTTGATGTGTTTAGCAATATTCTGTACGGTTGCCACTTAATTTTTTTTTAAGTCACAGAATTCTGAATCCTCAGTTTCAACATGATACTAAGAGCTACTTTGACAGTTGTCAGAGATGGTCCTAACAGACATTTTCTCTTGTATGTTTTTTATGAGATGAACTTTGCCATTTAAGCATCGTGTGCTGCTTCATGGGACGTGCCTTCCTTCACATAAGTGTTCTCTGGCCTATAGCTGAAGCTTCATGAAAATCAAAAAATCAGATGCATGCTGTCAGACAGTCTTAGATGATTCTGCAAATTGGCTGGACATGGAGGGTGGGTTTTGCATTTTTGGGTGGTGAGTTGTGAAACAGGTCTGTAAGATGGGGTTTAGCAAAATAGTGTTAAGATTTAAGGAATGATTTTTAAGCATCTTCTAAAGCAAAAATTTAAATTAACATGCAACTGAAAAAGATGTGTTCTGATCGCAAATTAGTGAGGTTTTGAGATCCTCTTGGTACAGAGGGAAATCACTTCATCGTACATTTCACATACCAGTTCGGGAACCAAGCGCTTGTAGTGGACCCAGGAATGTCGTTGGACTTGTCATTTCTGAGACTTCCTGCGCAGCGGGGGCTGAGCGCCATTGACCAAAAGGAAGTCAGGTCCAGGCGCCGAAGAGCACGTGCTCAAGGCCCCGCTCTCCCTGGTTTGTCAGCTTTATGGACGTGATGATGGCTGTCTCATTGTTTTTAAGCCATAATTTTATACCTGGAGTGTAGTCTAGTGCCTGTCACCAGGGCACAGCGACCTGAGCAGGCGTGTCCCAAACGGAAATCGACACCAGTGTTCCTCCCTTCGAGTTCGGTGTCCCAAATCAGACTGGATTATCTCGTTTGCTTCCCCTCACGTGTGCGGCCCTGCTCCTCGGCCCTGGTTCTAGGGTCGCTCGGGACAGGAGAGCAGAGAGGACGCGCAGGGCGGAGGCCCCTGGGCTGCTGTTGCCTCTGCCTCCTGGACGTTTCTGGAGTCTCAGCCCTTCCCACTCTTCCCGCTGCAGCCTCCTCCTCACCTGGTAGAGGCCAGCACTCAGTAGTCCCATCCTGGTTTGCCTCCAGCCTGTTCTGCATGGCGTAGCCTGAGTTCCTCGTAAGCTCAGGTGTCATCGGACCACTTACCTGCTGAGCTTCGTTTCCCGTGCCTTGGTCTCGCCAGTCACATCTCCGTTCATGTCCCCCTCCCTGCTTGTGTGTCATCAGTTCCTCATAGCGAGCTGCGTGCAGCTGAGGAGCGTGAGTGTGTTTCACGTTACGTTGCTTCTGGTTTCTGGCGAAGCGGTTTCTCTGTCGGGTGTAATACTCCCCATTCTCCGCACGCCCTGGCTCCTGTTTGTTCTTCAGGGGCGAGCCGAGATGTCAGCTCCGGGAACCCTTTCGTGGCGTGTGCAATGTTGGGCCAGCAAACCCGCCAGGGCTTCTGCCATCTTGTCATTTTAGTGTGAGATGTCTTCCTCGCTGTTGTATCGCCAAGATCTAGCCAGCATTTGCGGCACATGCAGACATTTAGATGTTAGATAAGAACTATTTTTTCCCCTCTTTTATCCCCCCTCCCCCCACTTCCACCCCCGACCTATGGATGTGGCCATCTCCCCTTAAGAGCTGGATCTCTGAAGGCGGGCGTCCTGGGGCCTGGTGCACCCCCGGCATGGTCCGTGGCTCCACCTGGGGCGCGAACCCAGGACCTTCTGCGTGTAAAGCACACGTGCTCACCGCTACACTAGGGAACCACCCCCAAGAACTGTTTTTTTAAATGAATAAAATTCTAAGTGAAAAGAAACTTTTGTTAACAACACGCTCGTTTTTAACATAAATGAACTTTTTTTAGAGAACAATGCCATTTTTGGGTCAGGACTGGAGATCTCCTGGATGGAGCTGGATTAAAACAGAAGATGGCTGGAAGAGACGCGAGTCCTGGGCTCAGGACCCGGAGAGAGAGGGCGAGCACGACGTCGGCCCCAGCATGTGAGTCCCCCAGAGTGGAGCCCGGCTTGGCGTCCCGGTCATCGCCATCCCCGCAGTCACTGGAAAGCTGCAGCGTGTGACGTGACTGCAAACTGCCCACACGCGAGGCTGCTGGGAGGGGGCAGCTCTTTAGCTGGAGCCTGAGCCCCGTGGGTCGCCTGGCACCCGCACGCGTGCCATCCAGCACGCACAGAAGCCAGTGCTGTGGCTCCGGCTTTGGAGGAAAGAAAAGGCTTTTGTCGTGAAGTCGGCAAGCGGGGAGACAGGAGGCAAGGCTCCACTCTGCCTCCTGATCCAGGGTTCGGAGCAGGTTTTTTGGGGTCGGGGGACAGGTCAGTACGTTATGGCTGAGGAACCCAGGGGAGTTAGGGTACAGTTTGGGCGGTGCCCATCCGAGGTGCATCGTAATAGTGGCTTTTGTGAGACAAATGGATTTCTCTCCCTTGGGAGTTCAAGTTGCTGCGGTGCTTTGTTTGGGGACGGAATGATGTTCTGCCTGGTGGCTCTGTCATCCTAAGGGGAGCCTCTGCGCAGTACAGGGTGGGGGAGTGCCCCCCACATCCACACCCCGTGGGAGGAGGGTCCAGCAGCATGTCCGCTCACACTTTGTTGGCTGGAGCACTGGACTCGAGGGAGGCTGGGGGCTCTAGCCAGGTTACGGGACCCACGCAGGGTCGATGGCAAAGATGTGGTCACCAGCGGTCTGTCACAGTGGTCTTGGAGCATTGGGAGGCACCGAAGGTCGCCAGGCCTTGTCTCTGAAGCATCATGGCTCGTCATGGTTTGAGGGGCAGATTACCGTTTACGCAGTCTCTTTACTGCAGTGAAGAAACTTTTAGAAAAGAAAATGTGTTAAGTTAATCAATTATTGCGTTATGATTTTACTTTTTTATTTCCTGAAGAAAAGAAAAATTGGGGAAACTTTTAATTAGTTGTATTTAAATGGGAAAAATGAATGATTTACTTCATCTGGCTTCAGTTGGATGCCTTAACAATTAGCATTGTTTAGTTGATGCTTATTTAATAAGAAGATGTTACAGTGCAGTAATAATTCTAGTTAAGTCTCTGAAAACACAGGAGATAAAACAGAAACATTGCGTGTGTACTCAGCATTGGATCAGGGATACGGCAAATCATTAGTATCAGATAATTATATGATCACGTTAACTTTTATTCAGCATATAGACAGTTTTGTTTATAATCTCCATGTTTTAGTAAAGCATTTTGAAACTATGTTATAATCTCCATGTTTTAGTAAAGCAAGTCTGAAACTACCGTGGTTTAGCATATATCAAAACCTTTGGGACATTATAAAGCATATTTAGCACCTCCTAGTATAACATTCTCAAAAGAACCAGGAGAAATCTCAGCTTTCTCAAAACAAAAAGAACATATTAGACATTAGCCGTATAATTTCAGATCTGTGATATGTCACTTTGAAAATTAACCAGTTGCTTTCAGAATTTAACATGATTTTTATTTTGATCTCTTTAATTGTAAACCAAATATTATTTTTTTTTCTGCAAAAGAAAACCAAGTGAAAATATTGAAACAAAATGTACCTTTATTTCAGAATCTTGAATAGTGAAGATGAGGAGATATTCGATAACGAAGAGCATGGATGTGCATCCAAGAAAAGGAAAAAGGACCATGTTAGACATGACACAGACACCCAGTGTAAGGTCGTTTTCATGGCATTTTACTTGTTGGGGGTGTTGGCATGCGAGGCTGCTGTGGCGGTGCTGTCTAACGAGGGCCGACGGTAAGGTGTGGAAGCACGGCGCGCGCCGCCATTGCCCGCTGACTTTGCAGCGGCACCGGCTAGTTAGTAAGACTCGCAAAACAGAACAGAACAGAAGATGGCAAAGCCCCCAGAAGAGCCCACGTGTCTGAGTGACTGTGCAGTCACGAGTGAGGTCATCACTTCACTCCCAAGCAAACCTCAGGTGTCGACATGGAGACATTGCGGTCAGAGGTGGGCGGGTGGGAGCGGGCGCCAGGCCCCCACTCTGCGTGGGGCACAGCCGTGAGCCTGTGAGGAATGTTTTAGCGTCTTCAGTCTGCTAAGGAGGATCGGGTCCTGTGGAGAATAGTCATCGTGATCCTTGAAGCTTTGAGATTTGAGTTACATGAAAAAAATTATTTAAATCCAATACCATATAAAAGCAATGACAGAAGAATAGAACTTGTTATTCAGGTGCATGATAATTTATTAATAATTGCATTTTTATAACAGCTTATGTTTTGCTGTTACTGCGGTCATTAGTAATACTGATTTTCTTGTAAGTTGATAAGAGTCGGCATTGTCTTAAGTCATTTTCCACATAAAGATATGTTTCAGCATCTCTTGAACTGATGTTAGGAAACAGCCATTTTGTTTACCTTTAATCAAGTACAAGCACCTGCTGTCCATACTGTAAGATAATTTTGTTTGCACACACAACTTTTGTTCCTGAAGATCTTCATTTTGAAATGATTCACCAGATTTTAAAAACGAAGTTAATTTTTATTCTAGGTTTTTATCGTGAAAAATGGATCTATGTCCATAAAGAAAGCACAAAAGAAGTAAGTATTCCATCATAGATGAGAGTATGATTTGTATCATTTCTGTTGAACGTGTAATGGTGCATCAAATAAGTTATTTCTTTTGCAACATCAAATCCGAGGCTCACACACGAGGATCTGCGAAGCAGTGAGTCTCGTGCGTGTGTGTGCACGTGCACATGGTGTGTGGCATGTGCACGTGGTGTGCTCGGAGGCAGATCTGCGTCAGCAGATGGACGAGTGCGGACCCTCTACTGACGCTTTCTCTGCATGCCCCTCAGCCGCTACTGCTGAGTGCTGGCAGCTGGCACGCGCCGGGGCCTCCTGTGTGGGGACGGCGACCCTCCTTCAGTGTGTGGAGCAGCTAAGGTGATGCTCGTAATTCCGTGGGACTCTGTAGAGGGCGGCTCCAGCGGTTCCCCTCCTTCCTTTGGCCGGGCTGGCGGAAGCTTGCTCACGAGCCACGAGCGGTCCACGACTCGGTCCCGCGTGTTTCCTGTCCCTCCGTCTGTCCCAGGGGCTTTCTTCCTGTTGCGCTCTGAGAAACCGCGTTGGCCTCATTTTAGCAACCGGGGGAGATGACGTAGAGAGGAACCGCTTGCTGTTTTACGTTGGCACCGGTTAAGTGTCCCGAAGTGTCGTGTTGGATGTCCTGAACGAGCCCAGCCTCCTCGGCGCTTAAGGACTAGATTCTGAGTCCAAGCTTGTCTGACCGCTTTGGTGACGGTTAGTATTATGACACACAGAAAACGGCTCTGGTCCTTAGCATACAGTCTGATACTCCCTGAGGTCTGAGCTTACAGAAGTCTCTTAAATATTCCATTTGCTCTTTTGCTACACGGATTACAGAGAAGAGGCCCAACTTGCGCCGGCGTGAGCGGCCGAGGGCACAGCCAGGCTCGGAGGGAGTGGGACTGAGCTGAGAGAGCTGGCGCTGGTCTCACCAGGCGGCTCATGTCTTGTCACCAGATGCACACCAGGTACCTGCTGCCTGGCTGCGGGCCAGTGCTGCTGTCCCGCCCCTCTGAGCTCCCTCCATGAGTGGCTCTGGCCCACGAGGGTGGCTGTGCTCGTGTGGTTCACACGTGCTGTTTGCTGTCCGATTTGATTTCCCAAGGAAAGGGCTGTCGTGGTTGGCGTCGAGCTGGAGGGAGCCTCTGCAGCAGCGTCCAGGGTTCTGTCCACTGAGCAGCACTCCCCGTGGAATAGCAGCTGTGTGTGATCCCAGTTACACCCCTCGCCTGTTGCTTCCCCAGCTCCCTGGAGCAGAGCAGATCTTCGGTAAAAATGTCTGTCAGTGTTTTAGATAAATGCATTTCGTGGCTTCGTGCACACATTAGGACTGTCTTTGAGACTTGGGCACACACCAGATTAGCCCTTAGTATGCACCTTTTACACGAGACTAGGGTGTTTCTGCTCTCCAGACCCCCTCCTCCCTCAGCGCACGTTCCCTGCGATTGCCCCGTGGTTCATCTGTCCCCGCGACTCTGGACGAAAGTCCCTGTGTGTTTTCTTGCTGTTTCAAGTACAGAAGGTTGCATCTAAAGTGGCTCTTGAAACCTGGTGTCCACCTCTGCACAGACCAGCGGAGGCCGGAGGGCGCGTCAGCAGGGGACAGGTCTACGACAGGGTAGTAGTGTTTTCAGGGCCTAAAATATACGACTCGTGTTTGATTTGTCTTCTTTGACTCCTGGACCTGTGGGTCTAATTACCAGCTTGCGTTTGGGGCCTAAGCATCCACAGTTCCCAGCCTGGAACAGCCCTTGTCACACCCCACGGCCTCAGCCCTCTTGCCCAAGCGCTGCTGTCGGAGTGGGCCCCCGCTCCCCACCCGCTCAGGGCCCTGGCCTGGCTCCCGTGTGTCAGGCCGGCTCCAGACCTGCAGGCACATGTGACTCCTGCAGAGGCATCAAGCGTGTCAACACAGCATGTAGAGATGTGTCTTCATGGCAGGCCAAGCACATGACTTGTGTGTTCCTAGTTGCGTAGCCTAAAATACCTCCACTTACTCTGTGACTCTAGGTTAATTGGCCCTCCCACCCAAAGTGTCCCAACAACAGGAACCAAGGAGATATTTATTAAGTGTGTCTTTGTCACGCTGTCAGCCGTGGTGTGAAAATGTGAACACATACCATCTCGGTTACACATAGCAGTGTACATTTACCGTCGCTCTGATTTTCCAGTCGTCTAAACATGGAACAAATCGTAATCAAAGCAGATGTTTTTTGCCCACATTTAACAGAGCTGAGCAGGGGCTAGCCCAGGTTGACGGTCAGTCCGCGGGACCGCCTCCGCTGAGCCCTCCCTGCCCTCGTCTGCTTGCAGAGGCACGGCTACTGCACGCTGGGGGAGGCCTTCACGCGCCTGGACTTCTCGAGCGCCGTGCAGGACGTGCGCAGGTTCAGCTACGTGGTCAGAGTAAGTGCCAACCCCGAAGCCCATCATGCTCTCCCCAGGTCCCCGAGAGGACCCATCCCTCTGCCATATGGCCTCCCTTAAGAAGACACCCTGCAGGGCGAGTTCTAGGGTTAAAACGTGCCCATTCTATGCCCAGTGACGGCTCTTTCCTCTGTTAGAGGTGTGGTTTTGGGGGGATGTCACTGGCTTTTGATTCCTTTTCTGACGTCGCCCAGCTTCTCATCGGTGTCATCGGCTGCTGGAAGGGATGCTCTGCCCCTTCCTTGCTGTGCGCCTTGTCAGCGTGCGTGGCGGGGCAGCCACGCCTTCCCGCCGCCGCCTCGCTCACTTCCTGTCCCCCCCTCCCCGCGCCCCATGGCCGCTGTGGCCTGGGACTCGCTCCTCCAGGGGCTCTCTCATGGTGGTCCCTCAGCCCGGAGGTCTGTTTCAGTGTCACTAGCTTTCGGACATGAACCCCTCCCTGTTTCCAGAGATTTCATGGACCCTTTAAACAGGGAATGCATAAAATCAATGAAAAAGGTGGGTGGCTAGGATGTCTGCTCATTTGAAGATTTTGAAACTGTTCTGGTTCCCACTGAGCACCGTATGACAGCAGCAGCTCGCACCATGGTGCACAGTGCAAGGTTGCAGCTGAGCTGCACTCAGGGTGGCCTGCCTGGAGGTGGAGGTGGAGGGCGGGGCTGGGCAGTGCTCTCCGGAGCGCCTGTCTCTCTTGTTTATTTACCAAGGAACTGACCGCCTCACCACGGCATCTCCTGGCTTAGTGTCCTCAGGCCCCTCGGGAGGGTTACGCTGTGAAACCACATACACTCTTCAAATGCAGTCCGCTCCGTGTGAGCTGGCTACGCTGATCCTGGGATAATCTCAGGATGATTCAGGCAAAGGGACGACAGTCGTGTGCCTGCCCCGTCACGGACCAGGATTCAGAGTCGAGTAACAGGCAGAGACGTGCGTCAGGTCACGGAGGGAGCAGGGGTGGGGGCCGGAGTGCCGTCGCCCTCGCAGTGAGAAGGGCTTCTGTCAGGTGTTCTCCCTCTCTCTCTATTTTTTTAATTCTACAAACATTTTCTCACGTGGAAATCCAGTGACTTGTTTCAATATCACGTGACATTTTAGAATAACGGCCTTTGAGTTCAGTGAAGCTGCTGAAAAGGGCTGAAATTCCTGGTCCTGTTGTAATGAAGCCTTTGTTTGCTGTGCTGAACTTTGTCTAAGGGACCCAGATGCATGGTGAGTTATTGTCACATAACTTACTGGCTCCGCTGACGCCAGGCCCCTAGAACAGGACCTGGGAAGAAGCCGTTTCTTAGTCTTCCTGAAACGAACGGAATAATGAGTGAATGAGCCCTGTTCACAGGCGTTCGTGAGCAGGACCCTCTGACGTCATCAGATTTGTGCCAGCTGTTTTATCAAACCTACAGGCACCTACCTCCTATTTGGAAACGAAAGAAGTTCATTTTTTATTATAAAACAGATTTCACAAAAGAGTTCCTTGGCACAAACACTTGGCCTAACACTTTTAAAGGAAAAAATTATAGGAAATGCCTGAGTAGTGTTGAGCGAAAGTGTACTACAAAAATATGTTAATGCCCCTAAAAATAAGATCCATCGAGTTGGAAAGACGGAGAGACGACAGTGTGGGACCTGCTGGCAGTCGAAGGAAATGCTCTTTAGGCAGGCTGCTCGGAGGCCGCAGCGTTGGCTGAGCCGTCGCAGCTCTGACGAGTTTAAGAGGAACATCACGAATTGGTGATCGTGGAGGATGGGGGTGTGTGCTGGTGTGAGCACACTGGCCGTGAAGGCACACCACCACAGGTGTGTCCTCCAGCTGAATGTCGAGCTGTGGAGTCTGAAATGCCTTCGGGTCTTTTTCTTTGACTTCCAGCAGTTGCTCTGTCAAGAAGACAGCTCGCGGAGTATGACTGAATGCGGCGATTGAGAATTCTTCTAACAAAACGAAAAATATAAGTTGCGTAACAGTTGAACTTATATAAAATAAAAGTCTGTCTTTCTGCCGGCACCAGAAGTCCGTGCACGAGACGAGAGTCGCATGGGATGTGGAGGAAAGGGGTGTTCCCAACGGTGCCTGCTCGCGCGGGCGCCCCCGACGGCGACTCGTCAGGGTGGCCTCAGCTCTGTGGCATGACTGACCCCCTGTGACCTTCAGGCAGAGGCACCAGGGTCACAGACCATGGAAGAATCTGACGAAAGCCAGCGGCACCCTACCAGGAAGAGGGTGACAGTTTGCACACAGCTCTGGGCGGAGTGGTTCTGCTTTGGCTGCATGAGTCTCTAGTCGAGAACTCTCTGCTATCGTAGAGTTTAGGTCGCACTCCTTTTTCGTTAACTGCAGTAAAATTGAGAAGACTTTGAAATGAGGTCATCAGATTTCGGGTCGTGGGTGCTGTTAGAGGCTGCTCACCGCGCAGTGACACGCATGGCAGGTGCTGTTAGAAGCTGCTCACCGTGCAGTGACACACGTGGCGGATGGGGGCAGCCTGAAGTGGGCGGGCCATGTAGATTTTGAAGACCAGCTGTATTCCAAGCCTGGCCCACTTCTTTGAGCCATGTGACTTCTGGGTCATTTTCTTCGTTGCTCTGGGCCTCAGTTTCCTCATCTGTAGCATGGGATAATGGTACCAGCTTCATAGGGGTGTTTTGCAAATTAGGCTAATCACATCACATACTTTAAATAGCGCCTGTGTAGTAATCACTCCACGTTTACTATTAGTTGTCAATCTAAGTGAATCCAGAGCGAGGACGCGGCGGTGGAGTCGCTCTGCCCAGTGGAGCATGGACTGCCCACGTTCCATAGGACTGGCTCTGAAATGGGAGAATCAGCACCTCGTTCTTAGCCTGTAACTTTCTGGGTGGTCGTAGGATCATTCACAAACACGTGTGGAGTTTCAGTTTTCTCTTGGATCCTACGTAGCCTACTTCGACCCGCAAATAGCCACGGTTTTATTTAGCTTTATGTAAGTCTAGTTTTATTATATTATCAGAGACTTTGGCCTGTAAGATTCTACTTCTTTCAGATGTGTTAACATTTCCATTTGCAGCCATTATCATAATTGATTTTTGTGAATATTCTGTTGACACCTGGGAAAAATTCAGATTCTTATTTGAAGAATTTTTGTGCTTATCTATAAAACAAGATTCAGTGGTTATGTTATTTAATCCTTCCACATCCTTTTTAAAATTTTCAAATTTAAAGATACATAAAACTCTCCTATGGTATCTGTATTTTAAAGTAATTTTTATTACATTTCCAACAGATTTTGCTTTATATATTTAGCTAAATAGAGGTTAACGTTTGGTTATATTTTTTTTGTAAATTGTTTCTTTTGCCCTTAGATCTTAAACACCATTTTAACCTCATTTCACCCTGTCACCCGTTGGCATGGCCGCTCCTGCTCTCTGTGTTGGCACGTGCCTGTGTGGGGGTCTTTCTGGTAGAGCCATCTTCTAGTGCTCTGGGGATCATAGCTGAGACAGCTGCTGACCTGTGCCTTCTGCTAGTGACTTCAGAGCTTTTAGTGAGGGACCTCTTCCATGACGTTAGGGAAATGTAGTTCACGCTGATGACGTGACAC